CAGTGTTGTGCCTTTCCCCACAGGAGCATAGAGCTCGTTGAAGTCCTTTCCCTTTGTCTGCTGAAACCCTTTAGCCACAAGCCTTGACTTGTAGCGGGTCAGCTCCCCATCTGGTCCGTACTTATGCCTGAAGATCAGCTTGGAAGAAATGGCCTTCTTCCCAGGAGGCAGCTCACACAGCTCCCACGTCTCATTCTCCAGCAGAGAGTCATACTCCTCCTTCACACTCTGCTTCCACTTCTCAGCGTCGGGCCCGCTCAATGCCTCGGCTAACGTCTTGGGCTAAGGGACGGCTCCCCAGTAGTAGTGTGCTATCTCATCCTCATCACACTGCTCAGCCACACTCCCAGCCCGTACCACCTTTGGCTTGCCAAAGCTCGGATAGGTCAGCCGGTTAGGAGGGCGCAATTCCCTCCGGGGACGGTCAGCCGGACGTGCGGCACCTTGTGGAGCACCTTGCTGCTGCTGCCGCGGCTGCTGCTGCTCCTCCACCTCAGGTTCTCCCCCATCCTCAGTCACCCCAGAGATCTCATTCTCAGAGACAGAAACCTCCACTTGCCTCGAAGGCCGCTGCACCTCATCGGCCTCGACAATTAGTGGTGTCGTAGGAAGCTTCTGTTGCTGCTGCTGCTTCCACTCCTTGTAGTACAAGGACTCAAGCAACTTCACATCCCTTGACACAGTCAGCTGCTGGCTGGTCAAGTCCCAAATCAGCCAGCCCTTGTGATCCTTAGCAAGCCCCAAGTGCACACCCCATCTCCCAGAAGCCTCCAACTTTCCCCTCTTCTCCTTAGGCACATGAAACACCACCATGCACCCAAAGGCTCTCAGCATGTTCATAGCTGGTGCACTCCCATACCACTTGGTGCAGGGGACCCACTGCTTGTCCCCCACTGTTGCCAGCACCCTGTTCTTCACAAGGGCGACCTGCCGCAGTGCAGTCACCCAAAACGGATCTGGCAGCCCTGCACGCCCAAGGAGAGTGCGAGCACCTTCCTGCAGGGTCCGGTTGAACCGCTCAGCCACACCGTTCTGTTGCGGGTTGTAGGGCACTGTGAGCTGATGCTGGATCCCCTTCCGCTTCAGCTCCTTCTCAAAATCAGCGCCGATGAACTCTCCTCCGTTGTCGGTGCGGATCACCTTCACCTTGTGTCCGCTCTCCCTTTGTGCTCTCAGCATCCACTCCTTGAGAACAGCCGCTGCCACCTCCCCCTTGGTCTTGAGAGGGTACACCCACACCGCACGCGTGTGGTCGTCCACTATCGTCAAAAAGTAGCGGCTGCCCGAGAGAGAAAGGGCCCTCGTGGGGCCCACCACATCCATGTGCACAAGCGCGAGCGGTGCCTTGGCTGGTCCCGTGCTGCTGCTGAAGGGAAACTTCGTGAACTTCGTTTCAAGGCATGTAGGGCAGCTCCCAATCTCCTTCGCTGCCCCCTTCACCTCCAACCCCTTCAAGCTCCCATCCTTCACCAACTTCTGCAGCATCGGTATGTTGATGTGGCACAACCTCTCGTGCCACGTCTCCCAATCGGCCTCACCACTCCCGGATGAAGCCTTTGCCCATGCAGCTGTCGTATCCACACCAGCAAGCACCTCACCATGTGGCTATTGTGGCTGCTGCACCTTCTTGACTGCATCCAGGGCCCCATTAGTTGGTGCAGTCTCCTCTCTTCCTGCAGATGCCTTAGCCGTTGCTGCAGCCGCTGCCGTTGCTGGTGGTTTCCCATTCCAAGGGATGATGGGCAGCTGCCATAGGTCCTTGATGCAGCTGCTCTTCTCCTCCAAATCCCACAGCAGCAACTTCCCAAGCTTTGCACGGCAGCTGGTTGGGCCGAAAGTCTCTTTGGCCTTGCTTTTCTGCAGCCGGCGCACAGAGAGGAGGTTAGCGGACAAATCTTCAACCAACAGCACATTCCCCAGCCCCACAAGCCCCCCATTAGCTCCCATTACCTTGGCATTCCCCACACCAATCACAGGGAGCAAGGCACCTGAAGCGGCAGCCACAAACTTTATCTTCCCAGGGGGCTTTACCTCGTCAAGCAAATCTGTCCGTGGGGTCATGTGACTTGTGCAACCTGAATCTATCACCCAGTGAGTGAGGGGGTGCATAACAACCTTCCCAACTGAACCCACATCACCCCCACTCCCTTGCACATCCTCAACCATGAGAAACATCCTAGGGTCGACTTTACCTTGTGCACCATCACCTTGTGCACCTGAACCTTGCACAGCGCCACCTCGTGCACGTTCACCACTTGGCGGCTTCATGCCTGGAGGCGCCCATCTTTCAGGCCGGCTGAAACACTTGAACCATGGGTGTCCAGCCTTCTTGCAGTACCAGCACGCACCCTCCATTCGGGTGCTCCCCCTGCCACCAGAGCTCCCATGCCCCTCATTATAGTCACCTCGGCCTCTCCCTCTGCCAAAGCCTCTCCCACGGCCTCGGCCTCTCCCTCCCCCTCTTCCTCTGCTGCCTCCTGCAGCTCCATACCCCTCAGCAGTTTTGTTGGCAGCACCACCTCCCGTGTGGCGCCTGCGGAAGTCCTCCTGCAGAATCTGCTGCCGTTGCCACTCAGGCGTCCACTTGTCCTGCTGAACGTTGAGGGTGGGGATGAGGTTGTCCCACGAGTTGTCGAGCACCGAGATGATCTTGGTGCACTGTTGCATCTGCGACACTTCGCTGCCCGCCGCTGCCATCCTCGCATAGGTGTCCTTGATCTTGTCAAGGACCGGTTTCACATCATCTCCCGGTTTCATGGAGAGGGCAGCCAACTCCTTCTCCAACACAATCACCATCGGCAGCGTGTTGGGCTGAATCACGTCGCGTAGCAGCTTCCATGCCTTCGGTCCGGGATCATCCAACTCCACCAAATCCTTAATGTGCTGGAACATGTCGTTGTTGACCGATTGGAGGATGAGGTCGTACAGCACCGCGCTTTTCTCAATCCACCGATCGCGGGCATCTCCTTCCCCGGGCATCTTCTCCTCTCCCATTGCAATTTTCAGCAGCTTGTTGCGCTTGAAGGTGCTCCGCATCCGCCCGCTCCATTCCTCATAGTTGGAGCCATCCAAAGCTTCGATCTTGGATGGTGGCGGTTCACTCCTCTTCTCAGCTGCATCTCCACTCCCTTGATTCATCTCCTCTGCTCCCAATCAGAGGTTTCAGCTCCCCCCTTTGCTGGTCACAATGTAGATCCACACAATCTTCACAAGTGTCGGCGCCAACGAAATTTCGGCAGAGTTTCCCCTTAGCGGAAGTCACATCCAACCTCCAGAACTCCACTTAGGCACGCCCACATGTCATGGTGGGTCTAGGAGGGTCTTCACACTTCAGTAGACTCCCCACAAGGTCCTTAATCAGCTCTGATACCACTTGTTAGAGACTAAGGATGGAGTCTATGAAGATTAGGAGCCGAAATATCTCAAAATCGTTGGCTTAGAATTCTGGACAGAAACGTCGCGCTCACAAGAAACGCCGTTGACGAAAAGTTCACGGTCAAAACTTCACCAAACCCAGATATGTTGTAGCCCTAGTCCGTGGCTACAATTCCCAATTTGAATCGTATCAAGAGGTGAAGTAGATCTCGACTTATCAATTTCGGCGCACAGGGGGGTATGCAGCCATAAGAACTTAACTCAATCACAAGAGTCTCATAAGTTCCACAATTGCTACACAAGAGAGTTAGAGTAGGAATAAACCAGGTGGGAGGGGATGAGGAGGACGAGAGGGAAGGTCCCAAGAGAGTCCCCAACCAAGGAAACCCCATGCCACACAATTCCCTTCCCAATAGGCAACCCAACTTTGACCTTTGTCACTATCCCAACCTCCACAATCCACCTCAACCCAACTTGGCCACACTTGCCAACCTGGTTTGGTTTCTCCCAACCATTTGGCAGCAACTACAGTAGAAAGACGAATTTCCCAACCCCCAAAAGTCTGTACCCCATATTGAGTCAACCCCACAACTTTCCACAGTTGCCACAATCAAATATGAAAAGCATATGAACTCCAACGTTCGTAACTTTCTTGTTCGTGCTCCGATTGAAGTGATACTTGGTTCGTCGGAAAGCTCTTGGGCAGAGGAGTCACTTCAGATATCTGCTCAAGCCAAATAACATTCACACAAACTCAGAAAAACCAAACCGCACAAAACACAAATTCTTACACACGCTCACACCACGCATGCAGCGCACGAACACATGATGGGAGGCAGACAGACGTGAATGCATATGATTGCATCACACAACACTTCTTCTATGCTTGGTTCCAGCTGTGAGGCCGAGATCTATGATGGGGCCATGGCTGCACAAAAGTTATGCTGGCTGACCTACCTGCTGACCGACTTGGGGGAGCGGCCTCGTTCTCCTCCAGTTCTCTACGTCGACAACAAGGCAATGCTTGCCTTGTGTCGCAAGCAGAGACTGGAGCACAGAACGAAGCACATTGCTCTTCGCTACTTTATTGCTCGAGAGCTGCACCAGCGTGGTCAGCTTCGTCTTTCTTACGTGGCCTCTCGGCCCAACACTGCTAATGTCTTCACCAAGGCCCTCGGGTCTGGTGATATTCAGCGTTTTTGAATTGCTCTTGGGCTTCTGGCCGTTCTACCTCACCTGCTTGTCTCTTGATCTTGCACTTGTTGTACACTGATATCTATACTTATACCTGCATATTTCCTCTTGCTAGGCTGTAATCAGTGGACTGCCTTGCTATTATATCTCTGCATGTGAACTGACCTTATGGCCGCTTGCTTGTGCTCGGATTGTGTGGTAGATCCACCCTGAGTTTTGCTTTGCTTTGCTCTGTTGTTTTGTTTGACTGGTCTTGTGACCGTCTTGTTGTCCCCCACCTTTGAATGGTCTTGTGACCCTCTTGTTGTCCCCCACTTAGCCTATGGGGGTGTGTTAAAGTACAATCTTACTTATAGGCTATAGTGGGGCACTCCTTTTGGGGTACAACACTTCTAGGGTTAGTACTTGTACCCCAACTCTTGCTAATCCTATCATTTCTGCATAGATATTCTAACATTGGTAGCCCTGATGATGATGTCAACGATTTCGGCCTGGAATGCTTGCAACTGTAGCATGAACTCATAGGCGATGCAAGCAGCTACAGGACGCTTGTCCAAAAAGTCAGGCTGACCACAGGAGTCCGCCGCCCGCTCCGCGGCCACCGCACCTCCTACCTTTCCCCTCGGCCGCCGCACCTCCCCCCTTTCCCCCTCGGCCGCCGCCCGCTCCGCGGCCACCGCACCTCCCCCCTTTCCCCCTCGGCCGCCGCCCGCTCCGCGGCCACCGCACCTCCCCCCTTTCCCCCTCGGCCGCCGCCCGCTCCGCGGCCACCGCACCTCCCCCCTTTCCCCCTCGGCCGCCGCCCGCTCCGCGGCCACCGCACCTCCCCCCTTTCCCCCTCGGCCGCCGCCCGCTCCGCGGCCACCGCACCTCCCCCCTTTCCCCCTCGGCCACAGCACCTCCCCCTTTCCCCCTCGGCCACCGCACCTCCCCCCTTTCCCCCTCGGCCGCCGCCCGCTCCGCGGCCACCGCACCTCCTCCCTTTCCCCCTCGGCCACAGCACCTCCCCCCTTTCCCCCTCGGCCACCGCACCTCCCCCCTTTCCCCCTCGGCCACCGCACCTCCCCCCTTTCCCCCTCGGCCGCCGCCCGCTCCGCGGCCACCGCACCTCCTCCCTTTCCCCCACGGCCACAGCACCTCCCCCTTTCCCCCTCGGCCACCGCACCTCCCCCCTTTCCCCCTCGGCCGCCGCCCGCTCCGCGGCCACCGCACCTCCTCCCTTTCCCCCTCGGCCACAGCACCTCCCCCCTTTCCCCCTCGGCCACCGCACCTCCCCCCTTTCCCCCTCGGCCACCGCACCTCCCCCCTTTCCCCCTCGGCCGCCGCCCGCTCCGCGGCCATCGCACCTCCTCCCTTTCCCCCTCGGCCACAGCACCTCCCCCCTTTCCCCCTCGGCCACCGCACCTCCCCCCTTTCCCCCTCGGCCGCCGCCCGCTCCGCGGCCACCGCACCTCCTCCCTTTCCCCCTCGGCCGCCGCCCGCTCCGCGGCCACCGCACCTCCTCCCTTTCCTCCTCCTCGGTCGTTGCCAGCTCACATTTTGTTTTGCGTATTGCTCCAATATTCAAAGGCATAGGGCTGTTAGAACACCTTTCACGCACCATTTGACCACTTGCCTCACCCATTTACCACTTTGAGCTTCCGTAGAATAATGCGTGCAACTCTCGTCCTCCAAGCACTCTGAAAGACCACGACGCTCTCGCGAGAGTAAAAATAGTCCCTGCGAACTACATAGCTAGCTCCGCCAGGCTGTATGTGAAGCGTTAGGGGGTCAGGCAATAAGGTGTAGAGAGAAACAGCATGAAGAACCCTCTGAACTACCTTATCACTGTTCTTCTCTCCTCTCACCGTCACTCACCTGAATCGTGATGATGTCAATACGGCGCATGGCCTTCAGCAGTAAGTGTCGCCGCACATGCTTCTGGATGATTTGCACCGACTTGCATCATCTTAAACTTCACAAACTTCCGCCATGCACGCTGAATCACCTGTGCACTCGAGATTCGCCATCTGCCCGCTCTCAAGAACACCTTGGTGGTCCCCACCTGAGACAAGAAGGGACATAATGGGTTTGTTATTTATGCCCAAGACCGACGTGTTTATATATTGGGCCATTGATTTACGTCATTTACCTAGGAGTCGCTGAGCCCCATTCGCTTCAGCAAGGGGTGACAGCATCCTTAGCGTTGTCATTGCAAAAGGGCAGTCCATGGTAAGACAGAGGTCGAGAGGGGAAAGTCCTTGAAAGAAAGAGAAAGGAGACAGCAAAGAAGTGAAGAACTGTGATAGAATAACAGTGGAGAAGTCTTCTCACTGCGTCATGAGCTTCACTACCTTCCTTGTAGGTCTGGTGCCAACTTGGAGAATCATTCAAGGAACTCGGTAAAAAGAAGACGGGCAAGGTATTCCGCACAGCTAATTCGAATGGCCTCCATAACTCCTTGTGATAAGCACAAGAAGTATATGTGATTTGTTAGACGAGACACATTGCACACATGCTGAGCTCACGCCCCACGCATTGCACGCACCATACATTTGAGCTGCTGGATGACGTAAAGATTCTCTAAGCATCCTGGCCGGGATTCGTTGTTGGGCTATACACACTGCACATAATCCGGCTCTATGTGGCTCAGCGTCGCCATAAGTTGTGGCAGTTGTTCTTGGAAGGCAAGGTTGAGATGAGGCGTAGAGGGACGACCATGAGCATGAAAGAAGAGAGGAAGAGAAATAGACAGATAAAACCAAACAAGCTTGTGCTGACCTTAAAGACGGTACCAACTGGCTTGAACTTGGTCTTCACATTCTTGTTCGAGAGCTCGGGGAAAATGTTTTGTGCAGGGGTCCCTTGACTTTCTCAGCACTTCATGGTGTTCCACAAAAAAAAAAAACTTGTCATTCTCCAGGAATAGGTCTGTTTGGTAGGTCACATGGTGAGGAGAGGGCCAAAATAAGCATGAGCCAGACTCTGAGAACTCTTACATACTTTCGGAAAATTGGGGCCCACCTTGTAAAAGAGTGGAGGCTCACCTTCCCCGCATAGTGGTAAATTGTGACCTTGCCCGCATAGTGGTGGATTGTGAAATTCGTCTGCGACGTTTTGGCCTTTTCGAACTTCTTGTGCGAACACAGATTCTTGTACATCTCAATGGTCAAGGTCTTGTGGTTATTCTTAGGAACTTGCTACACTCAAGGAAGGCGGATGATATATGTGGGGGGAGAGAGGGAGGGAAGGGCAAGGATGATGGGTGAAGTGGCAGCACGAACAATAGCAGCTGCAGCAGCGCAGCGGCAACAGCAACACTCACTCGCTAGTCTCTCAATATTGTTCTTCCAAAATAGCGATGATTCCCAATCGTTTTTGCACACAGCTACAGTGCACCAGTGTCAAATGTTGTAGCCTATAGTGAGGTTTGTCTTAGGGGGTACAGAAGTTAGAGTTTGTCATATGTACCCCAACTCACATAAATGAGATCACTACTTCCTTTCTTGACATGGTATCACCTAGGTTCGGATCCTGTGGGATCCCGCTCCTCCCGACCTCGTTCGTTTCGCCCGAGCCTGTCTCACTCTGTCGTACTAGTTGCGCACGTCTTGCCCGAGCCTAGCGCCGGACCGCTCTAGTCGCATTCGTTCGTTACCACTCGTTCCGCCGATCCACTGCTCTTGTAGCATAGCGACCTTCTCCCCCCCCCCTCCCCCCTGCTGCCCGTCGCATTTTCCCCCCCTGCTGCCCGTCGAGTCGCGTTTTTCCCCCCACTGCCCGTCGGGTCGCGTTTTTCCCCCCACTGCCCCTCTCATCCGCAGATGTAACATTTGACACACCCCCATAGGCAAAGTGGGGGAGAGCAAGGGGTCACAAGACCAGTCAAGAAAGGCAAAGCAAGCTCAGGGTGGATCACAACGTCACCACACACTCTGAGCACAAGCAAAGGGCCACAAGGCCAGTCCACATGCAGAGGCATATATGCAACACAAACAGCACAGTGATCTCTACCTAGCAAAGCAAGCATGCAGGTATACATATATATATATATATACAGATCACAGTACAAGCAAAGCCTACAGCAAGTGAGGAAAAGTGGGCACAAGCCCTAGCATAGTGCAAAAACGCTGATGATCACCAGACTGAAGTGCCTTGGTGAATATATCAGCAGTGTTGGCCCGAGTGGCCACGTAACGCAGACGAAGCTGACCACGCTGGTGCAACTCTCGAGCCAGGAAGTAACGCAGAGCGATGTGCTTCGTTCTGTGCTCCAGTCTGTGCTCCTCACACAAGGCAATGGCAGCCTTGTTGTCGACGTACAGCACTGGAGAAGAACGAGGCCGCTCTCCCAAGTCAGTCAGCAGGTAGGTGAGCCAGCGTAACTCCTGTGCAGCCATGGCTGTGGCGTAGATCTCAGCCTCACAACTGGAGCTGAGAACTGAAGACGAACGTGTATAACGCCAAGAAACTGAACCAGAGCCAAGGCTGAAGGTGTAACCCTGTGACGACCGCTGAGTAGCCTGGTCGTCAACCCAAGAAGCGTCTGAGTGCCCAGTGAGGACAACTGAGCTCCTCCCTCCAAGCACGAGTCCCATGCCTGATGTACCGCACAAGTAGCGCAATACCCTCTTAGCAGCATCCATGTGCACCTTTCGGTGCCGACCAGGAGCCACGTAGCGAGCCAGAAGGCCAAGAGGGTACGCGAGGTCAGGACAAGTGCAAGTCATCAGGTACATGAGACAGCCAACTAGCTCTGGGTAAGGACCACTCGGCTCTACGGACTCGTCCGAAGGTGGAGCTGAGAGCGAGTGACCTGTAGCCAGAGGAGTGGCCTGTGCCGAGGACCAGGTGAAGCCGAAGTGCTGAAGGACCTGCTGCACCATGTGTGACTGAGTCAGTGTGATGGTGCGGCGTGCTTTGTCCCGGGTGATCTGCAAGCCAAGGTAGCTGCGCAGTTCACCCAGGTCTGTGCACGTGTGTCTCTTCTGCAGCTCCAACTTCACCAGGGCGAGAGCCTCAGTGTCGGTAGTGGCAAAGACCAAGTCGTCGACGTACACGAGGATGTAGAACGGCGGCAGCAAAGTGTCGGTACGCAGAAACAGCGACGGGTCAGCAGTAGAAGGCGCACACCCAAGAGCCGCCAGTGTAGTCCTCAGTGTGTCGTGCCACTCACGTGGCGCCTGGCGGAGACCGTAGACCGGCCGCCAGAGGCTCCACTGGGTACCAGGAGGGAACGACCCAGTGAAGCCAGGAGGGCGGCGCAGCCAGATCTCCTCATGTAGGCTGCCCTGCAAGAAAGCAGTGCTGAAGTCAAGAGAGTGAAGCTCGTAGTCTCGCTGAGCGGCAACGTGCAGTAGCACCCGAAGAGTGGTCATCTTCGGGGTGGGGGAGAAGGTCTGGAAGAAGTCTACTCCCTCATCTCTGCGTCCATGGCTGACTGCCACTGAGAGGAGTACTCACCCGCGATCGCCTCAGCGTAAGAGCGCGGGGTCGGGATGTCTGGTGCATCCGGGTCTCCCTCAGGTGCAATCAGCATGGACACGAGATGAGGTACAGTGGCGGCAAAGCACTCAAACTCCTCCTGCCTGTCCTCAAGGACGTCCGTGTCAAGAGCACACTCACCCCCGACGGACGGAGGACAGAAAGACTCAGACTCAGCAACAAGACTCGCAGCGTAGTCTAGACGACAGTGAGCAGCAAAGTCGACAAGCTCAGCAACTAAGGCAGACGCAGCAGCTGACTCAAAGGAAGGGTCAGTGACAGCAGTGGCCAGGAGACGTGTGACAGTAGGACTAGCAGCACGAAGAGAGTCAGACTCCGGGTCAGCAAGGGCAGGAAGAGAGGACGCAGGAGGAGAAGGCAGCGGGACACGCCGTGGAGCAGTGGAAGGACGAAGCGCCATCTGGTGAGTGCCTGGGACAGCAGGAGGACGCTGACGCGGGACACGCCGATCAGTGCGAGCAGCACGAACAGGTGACGCAGACCAAGACTCAGGCGACACAGGACGAGACTCAGGCTCACGACGCTCCGTAAGACCGCCTGTCGGACCAATGTAGGGAGAAGGACCAGGGAGTGGCGAGGCAGGCGGTACCTGTGACAGCGACTGGACAGGCGGAGGACACTCTAAGGAGTGAGCAGGACAAGGAGGAGGCGGCTGACCAAGAACCTGCTGAAGGAGGGGAACGAAGTACGGCTGTGGCCGTGAAGTGCCCCCAGAACCAGCAGAGACAGCACCAGAACCTCCAGCAGCAGCTCCAACTCGCTCAGCACCACCAGCAGCTCCAGTACCTCCAGCAGCACCAGCAGCACCTCCAGCAGGACCAGCACTAGCAGCACCTCTAGCAGCACCAGTACCTCCAGCGTCACCCGCCCCAGTACCAGCAGCACCACCAGCAGCTCTAGCAGCTCCAGTACCTCCAGCAGCACCAGCAGCACCTCCAGCAGGACCAGCTCCAGTAGCACCCCCAGTCCCAGCAGCTCATGTACCGCCAGTACGAGCACCTCCAGGACCAGTGGCTCCAGCACCTCCAGCGCCAACCCCAGGGTCAGCAGCAACACCAACTCCAGTAGGCTTAGCGCCCTCAGCTCCAGCTCCAGTAGCACCTCCAGCTCCCACAGCACCACGGCGGCGGCGACAGTACCGAGAGTACCACTCACGCAGCTGCTGGGAAGAGAGAACGCCCCCAGGCGCAGCACCCCCAGGCTCAGGACCTCCAGACTCAGCACCCCCAGGGACAGCACCCCCAGTCTCAGCACCCCCAGGCTCAGCACCCGCAGTCTCCGAACCCCCAAGCTCAGCACCCCCAGTCGCAGTACCCCCAGACCCAGCACCACCAGGCTCAGCACGCTCAGGCTCAGAACGCTCAGGCTCAGCACGCTCAGTACCTCGCGCAGGACCAGAGTCGACAGCTACCTCGACAGGCTCGACCGGGTCTACCTGGGAAACACCTGAGGGAGCAAGACCCTGGGGAGGCAGGGGGTCTACCGAAGCAGCACCTGTCATGAGAAAGAGCGGCGGAGGAGGGAGCGGGGCAATGCGGAAGGGGAAGAGACGGTAAAAGGGGACCGACTCGTCAAACGTGACGTCCTGAGAGGGGAAGACACGGCGCGAGGTGGGGTGGTAAAACTGCCAGCCAGGCGCGTCAGGGACAAAGCCCAGGAAGACACAAGGAACGGCACGGGAGGAGAGCTTGTCCGCGGACGTATCGCGGACAAAGGCACGAGATCCCCAGATACGGAACACAGACGCATCGCCAA